ACCCCCCCGTGGTCACACATGCATGATTCCGTGTGTATAACGCCCTCGAAATGACAGAATCGTAGAGACGGGGAACATAGTAGTAGCCACCGGGGGGGCCAGGTCTTTATGGTGACGGAGCAGCTCTGAAGAGGCCAAAGGCGTCTGTCTGCCCGTGTTGGTTTGCTCGGGGGCCACAGCAGACGTTTGCTGATGGTTTCCGTCCCAGGATGAAACGTAAAGCTCGGCGAGAAAAGAGCTTTCCTTTTTCCCCCGCGATGCAATCCCCGATCCTTCAGCAGTGCCCGGCACGCGGTAGGCACTCCAGGATTTGTTGGATGAATGAATTAATGAATGCATTTTTCTCTTAGGCTCGGAGTTGGAAGGCCAAACGGGAGAGTCCGTCCCAGACCCCACCCGCAGATGTCAACTCCCTGCAACCCAAGGACAACCAGAAGCGACGCCACGTGTCCCATGGCAGTCCGGGACCCAGGCCGTCCCGTCAAGTCCCAGAATCGAAGAACGAGCAAGACGAGATCCATTACGCCGCCCTCGACTTCCCAGGCCTCAGACCGTGGGAGATCCAGGAGTCCCAGGAAACCAACTCGGAATACGCAGAAATCAGGTTCCACTGAGAGTCCACGGGGCTGTAGGATGACATCCAGGTACAGAGCCGAGCAGGGCCCTCGAGAGACACGGAAAAGGGCAAAGCCCCTCCCTCTCCCCCTCTCCCCATCTCCTCCTCTAAGGGTGGGTCCGCCCCTGTCAGACCCAGCATTTGAACTGCTTGACTTTCTCTGCAAACAGAAAGGTCAACTTTTCCTCGGGCACACCCAGGCACCACCCTAGCTGATAACTCAGTCTCTTGTTTAGCAAAGGTCAGGGGCTTTAAAGATGATTCGATCATCATCTTTATCTTTGTGAGGTCAGCAAGCTCACCTCACAGGTCCGGCCTGGCCCCGTACCCATTTATATACCAGCTATGGGTCAAGAAGTTTTTTTTTTATATGTATTTTTTAAATGGTCGGGAGGAAAATAAAATCAAGAAAAGGAGAATGTTTTGTGACGCTTGGAAATAGGAAATTCAAATGTCGGTGTCCATTAATAAAGTCACGTCGGAGCTCATGTGTTGCCATCGACGGCTGATTTCATGCAGAGCCGAGCTGCCAGCCTGCAAAGCCGAAGACATTTAGCATAAGTTCCTTTTACAGGAAAAGTCTGAGGATCTTAATCTAGAGTCAAGTCACCCGCTCGATTTTATGGAAGAGGAAACAGAAGCAGAGTTTCGGAAGAGAGGTCAAGAGGAGTCAAGGCCAATGGGACCAGCTGTGCGACCAGCTAGAAGGTTCCAGGGCAAGGACATTTGGGGTGACTACATCATCGACCTCCAAATCTAGGGAAGAGCAAACGCTCGAGGACGTGGGAGTGGCCACAGTGGCGAAATGGAATAAAGAGCAAACCAGCCAACTAGAACCAACTAGAACCAACTAGAACCAACTAGATGGCGACCAGAGGAAGAGGGCTCCATTTCTCATTTCCCAGAGCTCATAGTTCTACTTGCTTTACGGACGGGCCTCCTAGGACATGGTTCCTGGCCGTTGTGCCGAAAACTGGGGAGCCCAGCAAAGACGCTAATCTTTGCATTAAAAACAAACAAACAAACATGATAAATGACGTGATAGGAAGACAGAAAGAACTGGGGCGCGGGGGGGAGTACAAATAAAGCAGAAGAGGTTATAAGTAGAGCTGAAAAAAAATGGAGGTCAAACAGGACCTTCTCAGGTCCCAAGCTGTACACGAGTGGCCGTGTCATCAGAGAAAGAGAAGGCGGAGTGAGGACATTGACATTTTTTAAGCACCTTCTACATATCATATTGTGAGTCAATCGTTTATAGCTGTCTCCTTCGACGACAACTGTGGTGTACGGTAAAGCGTATCTTCATGGTGAGGCTCAGAGAGGTGAATTAATTTATCTGAAGCCACGCAGGAGAGATCTGCCCAGTTAAGAAAGGACTCAGAACCCAGGGCACTTGGCTCGGCTCGTGGAGATGCTGAGACACAAATGACCGAGCTTACGGTCAGCAGGATGGAGGTAGGAGGAGGCTGGGGGCTGGGCGAAAAAGGGGAAGGGTTAAGAAGTTACCAACTACCGCTTATAAAAATAGTCATGGGGCGTCAAGTACAGCATAGGGAATCTAGTCAATAATATCGAAATAAGTATGCGTGGTGCCAGGTGGGGACTAGAGTTACTGGGGGAGATCACTTCGTAAGTTACGTAAATGTCTAATCACTGTCGTGCACCTGAAACTAATATAATATCGTATGCCAACTGTAATTGTAAAGTAAAGATTTAAAAAAAAGATGCTATTTGATTTGGGAACAATCGACATCTTTATAGAATCTAGCCCATATTTCATATGGTCTTTCCTCTCATTTAATTGCGTTCTTTTGAATTTTTTCTGTCGATAATGCTTCATAATCTACTGCGTAGAACACGTGTATATTTTTGTTAGATTTCTAAGTATTTGATATTTTTCAGTCCTCTTAAAAATGGCATATTTCTGTCCATTTCATTTCCTGGGTGATTCTGGTATATAGAAATATACCACTTGGATTTCGCACAGCGACCCTATATCTGTCAACCTTGCGCAATCTGCCTATTGAAATAATCCGTCTGTAAATTATTTTGGATTTCCTACATAAAAAAAAATCATGTCATCTGATAATAAACATTTCGCTTTCTTTTTCATTAAAGGGAACATAAATGAATAAGATTTTAAAAGCTGCTAAAGGACAGGGCAACATTTAGAAGGGAAGGTGTATACTTTCCAAACGCGATGATTTAGACAGAGAAAAAAAAGCTGTGAGCGGACAAGTGAACCTTTTCCAAGCGTGAGCAGAGAGGGGTGTGTGTGTGGCAGATGTCTTAAGCCACCGTGTCCTAAGCGAGAGAATAACAGGGCCTGTTTGGAGATACCAACCACTTCAGCTCAACCCTCTCGAATCCCAGAGATATTTCTAAAAATATCTCTAACACGAACATATACTGAACACTTTCCACAGGCCCTGTTGTCTGATGCTTATGTTATCACCGATACTCGCAAAAAAGTGAAGGGAACTTTAGACAAAAGACCGGGGAGATCTCCCCTCGTCTGCAGTTACCGGGGTGGTGGACGATATGGTAAGGAGGCCCGGTCTGATGTGCTTTGCTTCTGAATGTGCCAGCTCATCCGGCTACTGAAGAAAATGAAGAACGGGGTTAGCTGCCAGGACTAAAGTGGCCGCCGGGGCCAGGGTTCAGAGGGACTAGAAGTACAGGCTGCTGCGCGCCATCGCTCAGGGCGCCCACCTCTTTTTCCAGATGGAACAGGGTCTTGCCCAAGGTCGCCCGGTGAAATAGCAGAAGTGAAATCCAAACCCAGACAGGTCCTGAAAGAGATGCACCCAGACAGCTCCTGAAATAGATGCACCCAATTCCCCTTTATAAACTTAGAGAAGGGTGTCTGTTTCCCGCCCTGACCCCGCCAGAGCCTGCCTCGAGAGCACTGCCCACCCCCACCCCGTTTTCTTGACCTGGGAAACTGCCAGATTACAAGGTTGTGTTAGGGCAACAGGTTTGACCAGGGGTGGGCAGCTTTGGAATGTGTGTGTTAAGGTCCCGGCTTCTGTAATCACGACCCGGGGCTTGGAGGGGGTGGTTAGGAGGGTTTCTTATCCAGCACTCTCCGGGGGGTTGGGAGGGGGAGGCAATGTCCTGTAGTTGAAAAACAGAAAAAAACAAAAACGAACAAACGACAATAACAAATGCTCCCAGGCCTGGACCATCGGCATCGCCAAATCTGCTCTGTAAGCAGGTAATCAGAGACTGTCGACTCTGGGACATAGAAACAAAAACGTTCCGTGTTTCTGACCGGTGACTCGGTTACCCTGTGTTGAAACTCTTTCCTCAGCCCCGAAGGTGCCTTGGACGTTGTGTAACTTTCCAGTCACTTCTGATTGTTGAAACTCGGCCTGGTCCCAAATCTCGGCCTCAGACTTGGTTTCGACCCCATCGCGTCCCCTCTTCATCCGCCAGAGGTTTAAGCTGGGACCTGACTCCCTGGAGAGACAGGGAGACCAGTTGTCCGTGACACACCTTCTTCTCCGTTCCCACTTCAGGTTCTAGTTTCCCAAAGCGGCGGGGCTCACAGGAGGGACAAGTATGGGGACAAGTGACTCTCGACCTAACTGGCCACAGCTCTCACCTTTTGTTGGCTGACGCGGTCTCTAGCTAACCCTGGTAGGTGTCCAAACACTGGTTCTCACTTCGCTGCTCTTATTTGTCTTCAAAAATATGTATTATTATTTTGTTCCTACTAGTACGTCATCGTTGTCGTCATCGTCGTCTCTGTTGGTCCTGGAATACAGCGTGTGGAAGAAGAAACAGGTCATGATGAAGGCTCAGTCCTTGCCGGTTCTGCCGCATGTTTGCCAACATGACATGATCTAGGGTGAATTGCAGGGTGACTGCTTTAGCCATCGGAGGCCCCCTCGATGACAGCATTCTCGGGTCTAAGGGGCTGTGACTTTTCAGTTTGGCTAGGTTAAGGCCAAATTGTCCTCGAGGAAGAGGCTGGGTTTCTTTTCTTTTCTCTTTTCTTTTCTCTTCTCTTCTCTTCTCTTCTCTTTTTTCTTTCTTTCTTTTTCTTTCTTTCTTTCTTTCTTTCTTTCTTTCTTTCTTTCTTTCTTTCTTTCTTTCTTTCTTTTTTTCTTTTTTTTTTTTTTCTTTCTTTCTTTCTTTCTTTCTTTCTTTCTTTCGGTTATTATGACAAAGGGTCAGCACAGAGAATTGGGGAGATGACGGAATATTCTGTATCTTGTGATGATGGTTACGTGGCTCTACGCATCTGTCAAAACTTGGAACTGTATACCAAATGAAGTACATTTTCCTGTGTTAAAAGATAAATAATATGAACATAAGGTATACTGAGCACTTTTTCAAAGATGGGAATTCAAATGAGATAATGCAAGTGAAGGTGTCAAAGTCAGCGGTCCCCAACCTTGTGACACCAGGGACCGGGGCTCCTATGAGAATCTAACACCTGATGATCTGAGGCGGAGCTGAGGTGGTGACGCTGGCACTGGGGAGCGGCTGCAGACACAGATGAGGCTTTGCTCATTCACCCGCCGCTCACCTCCTGCTGTGCAGCCCAGGGCCTCACAGGCCACGGACCAATACCAGTCCCCAGCGCAGGGCTTGGGGACCCCTGGTGTAAGGATCTCCCTTTTGGGAACCCTTTGGTCTCGAGACTCCCACTTTAGCAGATGCTTCTAGCAAATCCTGACTTTTAAGCAGTCTAAACATCATTCACAGCAGCCACGAAAACCTAGGGGGACTCATCCCAGCCTAGACCTCGGTCCACAAATCTGACCCCTCTCGCTCTCATTCCTCTCGCCAAGCACCCAGATATTTCCTAGGTGGTGGCAAAACCACCCAGCTCCAAGGATCCGGGTGGCCTCGCGCCTGCGCAGTGACCGCCGGCTACAGGCCGAGCGTGCCGGATGGAGAGCTGTCAGCGGGAAGAGTGGGGAGAATCCTGGAGAGACGACTCGAAAGTGAACCTTGCGATCCAGAGGAAGCTGGGTCTTCCAGGAGAGGGAGGCCAGCCGGAAGAGGAAGAAGGCTCGGGGTGAGGAACTCCCGAGGCCAAGTGTGGCCGAGGATCCCTCTATGAAACCGGAAGGTAATTTTTGCTGAGGCCGAGGGGACAATCAGTCATTTAGGGAAGTGGTGTGTGGGAGTTCTCGAAATGTGCGGGGATCCCCCCAAACACAGGCGACTGGAAAAGATGACAGTAAAAAAAAAAAAAAAAAAAAAAGGTCCTGAGTTTATTGTTAAAGGGGGAGGGGCAACTCCAAAGGACGGTCCCGAGGGTCCTCCCGGATTAGTCCCTGCCGGGTGGGGGGCGGGGCTAAGGAGGCGGAGCAGGGTTCACAGGGCAGGGATGGTTCCCTTTTTCCTTTACCTGGAGGGACACCCTAGGTCATGTTGAGTGTGAGGAGGGAGGCCTTGGGGAGACCTCGGATGCCTGAGGGGCAGGAAACCAGCCAGGGGAGGGGCTGGCAGGAAGACCCTCGGGTGGGGTACTTGCGAGTGTGGGGGCGGCTTACGGATGACCTCCCGGATTTCGAAAGTGTCAAACACCTGAAAAGAGGCGGAGGGAGAGAACAGCAGTGAGGGGGTGGCCCCTAAGAGCTGGGGAAGCGGGCAGGGATGTCCTTCTGAAGCAGAGGTTTCCCCGGACGCCTGGGTCCTGAGAGATGCCTGGGGTCTCCTGAAGCAGTAGCGGGGTTCCGGGACTCCCCAAGGGAATGAGGGGCCCGGAAGAAAAGAGGAAGAGGCTCAGAAGAGGGCAGACTGGACTCCTGAGGGTGGGGAGGCCCGGGTCTCCATCCTGAAGGCTCTAGAAGCGGTGGGAGGCAGGCATAAAGAACAGAAGGTATGGGAATCCTGGCCTTGTGGGATGGGGACCTCTCCTTGGCGTCCGCAGGACTCCCCGGGTCCTCTGCGGGGACTGGGCTAGAAACAAGGGGCGGTTAGAAAGAAAGAGCTTCTGGGTCAAAGTCTGAAGGTGACCGCTGGGCCTGGAAGGCCTAGGCTGGCGGGAGAGCCGTGAAGACAGAGCCCTACGCGGGGAGATTCTTCAAGGCAGGTGGACGAGGAGGACCTCCCGGCCCTTGGCGGCGCGGGGCAGAGGGGGCAGGACGCAGGGGTCGGTAGGGGCGACAGTGAGCAGAGCCCCAAGACCCGGAGGCTCCGATGCCCACCCTGCACTTGGAAAGGCCCCCCCTCCAAGTCGGAAGGGTTGAATGAGTGGGTAAAGCTCGAAGGAGAGAGAAGGGCCCCCAAGGTCTCCGTGAGTCCTGGGCTTGGGAGGCGCTGAGGCTCAACCTTGTGTTTCTGCTTGACGTCTGTGCGGGACACTTAGAAGAAGGGCTGGACCTAAGGCGGGGATGGGCCAGTGGGGCTCCTCGGTGGGCCAAGGAGACCCCTGGGGGAACTGCCCCCTCCGCCCAGGGTCCCCTGCCCTCGCCAAGCTTCTCTCGGATCTCCGGGCCTGGGCCGGGGGTCTCCCCGGAGGCGGCAGAAGCCCCCCAAGCTGGACCGCAGCCAGCCGTCACCGAGGGAGGCCCGAGCGAACGTCAGTTACAGCCGCGCGCTCGGGAGCGCAGCCAATCAAAGAGCGAGGGTGGGTCCGGGGCGGGGACTCCAGCGCGCCCGCCAATCAGAGCCGAGCGTGACGTCACGCGCTGCCCTACGAAGCAAGGAGGGAGCGAGGCGCCTGTGTGGAAAAGCGTTGCCTTAGAGACGCAAGATCCCGCCTCCGCACTCCTGGCGTGGGAGGGACGCCTTAAAGGGCCAGGTACATGGTAAGTGCAGAGGTCGGACAGTGATCGCACAAAGAAAAGAAACAATAACAGAACAAAACCAGGAGCAATCCCTAGAATTGAGCGATAAACGCTGTCTCTCAGAGAAACGGAGACTCAAAAAGCCTAAGCAGCTTGCTGTAGGCCACGCGCCGATAAACAGCGAAGCGGGGATTCGAACCCTCCATTTCCAAGCCCTGTCTAGACCTACGCTGCCTCTGTGGGATTCGACGTAACCGGACAGACAGACCCAGAGTGCAAGTCTAGCGACCCGAATCTTAACCACAGTCGCCAGCAGAGGAAACTCTGCCTCCTTGATAAAAAAAAGTCTTCAGATTCCAGCCACCTGGTCTACTGCCACCTCCTCTAAAAACACCTTCCTGACCTCGCCCTCCATCCCTTTCCCCGAGGCTCCTGCTCCTCCCCGTGTCCTGGCTCTGATCACCCCGGACCGTTACTGTCCACCTCCGTGTGTGCACAAATGGCCTGGGTGCCACAGAACTCAGAAAGTGAAGACTAGTATCTCAGATTTCGTGTTCAAGGGACTGCTCGTGTTGAAAACGTTGCATTGCTGATTCGCCGTTACCCCCGCCCCGGCAGTCACACAGGACGCCTTGATAGTTCTTCCTCCAAAACATTAAGCGAATCATCAGGAAGAGAAAATCATTTATAGCACTGACTGTATTTATTGGGGGTAAAAATCTGCATATAATTATGTAGACCCTTGCAGTTCAAACCCATGTCGAGCAAGGGTCAACTGTACTTCTCAAGTTCATTGCCATGCCCACTACTCCCGCCTTCCCTGGTGTGGCTGCCCCCCCCTTGCCCGGACCATAGCAGCTTCCTCCCTGGGCTCCCATGCGTCTGCTCTTGCCTGCCACTACAGTCCATTCTCCAAACTGCAGACACAGTGCTCTTCTGAATACGTAAATTTAATTGAGTCACACCTCTGCTTTCAAATGTTCGAGTCATCGTAATGTTCAAGAATTTTTTTAAAAAAAAAATGCCAGAAGTGTTTACGGCAGCCTTCAAGGCCCTCTGCAGTCTGGCTTCTTCTACTTGTGTCTCCATTGATATCACAGGAGCCAGGTTGTCCAGGGTTCGAATCCCAGGTGTGCCCTTACTAGCTCCGTGCCCATAGGCAAAGCGCCTGACCTCTCTGAGGCACAGTTTGTTCCTTTCTGAAATGAGGATTAAATGAGTTAGAACTATTCTTTGAAGTAGGCCTCCGTTTCATGAAACAGCTGATTAGTTCGTATTCCTTAAAAAAGGACAAAGTTATGAAAAACAAGGAAAGACAGGAACTGCCCCAGGCGGGAGGAGACGAGGGAACCGTGATGAGTAAACGGTAGCTTCCTAGGATTCTAGAACAGCAGCAGCAACAAAGACATCGGTGTAAAAACGGGTAAAATCCCAGTAAAGTCTGGAGTGCAGTTAATGGTTATGCTGGTTTCTTACTTGTGACACATGCTCCCCAGCAGCCTAGGAAAATAGCATTAAGGTAGCTGGGTGAGGCGTGTTTGGGAACTCTCTGCATTATCTTTGTAACTTTTCTATAAATAGAAAAGTATTCCAAAATAAACCATTTATTTTTTTAAAAATAGACCTACCCACTCCTCCTCATTCCTGCCCAGTCCCTCAGACACTGCGATTATCCCACCCTCAAACCTTTGCTTTGGCTGCTCCCTGGAAATGCTCGTAGTCCTAGGTCTTCTGGCGCCTTCTGTAACCGTCTTGTCTAAAATTGTAACTGTCCCCTCTGCCTCTGTATCCCTGACTTCGCATCTTCACAGCGCTCACAGAAAAGGTACTGTGGGTGTCTTGTCTCTCCCGCCGCCAAGTTTCGTGGGAGTAGGGGCTGAATCTATTTTGCTCGGGGCCACACCCCCAGCGCCCAGCCTGGACTCGCGGGTCCGAGGGAGGAGGGGCTGGAGGCCTGGATCCCTGGGTCTGGGGGCGGAGGGGCCGGGGGCCGGACTCTCGGGTCTCGGGTGGATGCGGTTGTGTGCTGAGTTGGGTGGGATTGAAAAACCAGCCCAAAAAAAAACTCTTTCCCCGCTCCTGACGTCCCTCAGGCCCCGCCCTCTTTCTGACAAGCCCCGCCCACTTTCTTCCTGGAGCACCGCCCCTCCTCCCGCCTCCCTGGGCGCTGGAGAAATCCAGTGGAAGGTGCTAGAAGAGACTTGAGAGACCCGTGTGAAGATGGAACAGCAGAAGGAAGAGACTGGACCTGAGGGGTGAGAGACTCGAGACTTCCCGCGGGCAGGACACAGACCCACAGAGAGCAGGGACGGAGAAAGTGCGAGAGAGGTGAACACAGCCAGCGAGTATCAGAGAAAAATAGTCTCAGGTATCATGCCAAAGAAAAGAGTCTTAGGAGATCTTGGTGACAGGTAAGCCAGATACTTAGGACTTCAGGGAGAGCTGGAAACTGATGTTCGTGGCACAGAGAAATTTCAAGAATGGAAGAACCAGGAACAGCCATAGGGCAGGAGAAATAACGGTAATAATTGTCTACATTTCCTGAACATTTCCCAGACCCGGCCTTTTAACAGGCACCTTCGATGCCACCCAAAGCCATCTTTTGGTGCGCAACATCAAGGTGCAGCGTGGGAAAGACACACGGTGAGCAGGCGAGGCCGCCTGAGCCGAGCTCTGAGGCTGAGGTTCTGGCGGAGCTGCCTGTTTCTCTGTAAAGAGAGATGGGGCGAAGTGGGGAGGGGTGTGGGAGGAGAGAGGGGTGGGCAGGAGCAGGTGAGGGCGGGAGAGATGGATGAGGAATCCAAGATGGAGAGAGCTGAACCCCGGGAGAAGCACAGAGGCTCCACCAGGAAAGACCTGTGCGGATGGCAAGCCCTCGGCCTTGTCCCCCTTCTCATTCTAGGAACAGCCTGTCCCTGCCGTCACCTGGCACGGAATGGTGTCCCCCCGCACCTTTCCCAGCCCTGCCATCTTCTTTCTTGGGCACCCCAGATCCAGCCCACCTGGGACTCCCCGAGAGCCTGGCCTCTGTCACTGTCCCCATCCGTCTTGACGCCCTCTCCTACCTCCTGCACAGTGCCCTGCTGGGGGCGTACACCCTTCAACAGTCCCTGCCCGCCTGCCCCTGCAACCCCGAGGCATGCAGCACCCAACCGGGCGCCGCCAGGAGGCCATCTACCGGTCGCGGGGGCTGGGACGTCCGGCGCAGGCCACGCCGGGGCCAGCGGCGATGGGGCCCTGGGAGGGCCGAGCAGCCAGAGAAGGGCTGGGCAGGGAGCTCTGGGGCTGGCCCCAGGACCCCGCCCGTGATGCCGCCGTCACCGCCAACACCGCCTACCCAGGACGCGAAGAAGGAAGTGCGAGGCCCAGAGCCACCAGCTGCCACCGAGGACTGGGACACTGAGTACTAGGACCCTGACGACCCGGCCCAGGGTCCGGAGAGGGCCTCTCGGGGTCGCTAGGAGGGTTTTCCTGCAGCTCAGAGTGACCTCGGCCTCGTCAGAGACACCCCAAGAAGCATCCTGCTTGCAACCCTCTTACCCCAAACGCACGGCCTTTGGAGGGAGGCCCGAGCGCGAGCCCATGAACCTGGCTTAGGGTTTCAAGCCGGAGAAGGCCTTGCGCCTCACGCCCGGCGCCTCGCCCCGATTCCCACACCAGTCCCGGCTGTAGCGACGGCCCTCAGCTCACTCTCGACCCCAAGGCCTCCTGCGGCCCCATTCTTAACCCCGAAACTATTCACGCCTGCCCGTGCAACCCTCGGCCCACCCCACGCCCAGTGCCATATCCGAACCCCATCCACGCCCACCTCTACCCCCACCTGCACCCTAACCCAGCTCATTCTCGCCTTCTTCATCTTCACCCCCCAGCTCCCTCAGGCCAAGCCAGTCTGCACCCTTCCCTTAAACTCCGCCCCAAACCCAGTCCACCTTCCACCCCAGCCAGCCTAGTCTGGTCCTCAACCTCCTTTTCGTCCCAGCCCCAACTGGGATACGCCTGTGACCCCTCCGGAGAAGAGCCCCTCAGACCCAGGAAATCCAGATATCACTCTGTTTCCTGCCTTTGGGGGTGGGAGGCCCTGTGTGAACAATAAATGGTGGACCGTCCTCATGTCTTGTGTCTGTGCGTGTGTGCTTACGCAGCTCAGGCCTACCCGGCGGGTGCTGCGGGCAAGGCCTGTGAAAGGGGGGTACCGTGGTTGGGAGGGTCACAGAGAGAGGCCCGCGGGGCCAGGGGCTGCGGGAGGGGGCGCCCGGATTCCTGCCTCAGCGAATTCCATTTGGGGCCACGGCTGCCACCGCTGCACTTCTGCCCGCTGGAAGCTGCTGGGCTGTGGGGCCATTGTGTGGGGAGGCTTAAGGGATTTGAGGGACCTGGGGAGCAGCGAGGCCAGCGACCTGGCTCGACGCAGTCTGCACAGAGGGGCCGAGGCAGACGGAGGGCTCGGGACAGGCTCGGCCACTCAGGTAGGGACCAAGCATGGGACCCGCGGCCTCCTTCTCCCTCAAGATCTAGGCGCCAAGTCCTCCAGCTCTATCCTCTTCCATGGACCTGCCGGGGTCCCGAACGCCAGCCCCCTCCCCACTTAGGACCTGGGGGGCGCAGGTCCCTGGCTCCCATCTTCCCCAAGGGCTTGGTGTCCTAGCACCCAGCCCAACTCCTGGTTTAAGACCTGCAAGTCCAGGCCCCCAGCCCCATTCTTCCAGGACCTAAGGGTCTAAGCCCCCAGCCCTCTCCTCCCCGAGGCCCCAGGAGTCCAGCTCCTGACCCCATCTCCATCCTTCCCCACAGATCACCATGTACAGCTTCATGGGTGGCGGCCTCTTCTGTGCCTGGGTGGGGACCATCCTCCTGGTGGTGGCCACAGCGACAGACCACTGGATGCAGTACCGGCTGTCGGGGTCCTTCGCCCACCAGGGCTTATGGCGGTATTGCCTGGGCAACAAGTGCTACCTGCAGACAGAGAGCATCGGTGAGGCCTCGGGGCAGGGTCGGGGCTGTGCCGGGGTCTGGACCTGCAGGGCAGAACCTCACAGCTGAAGGGCCACCTGCTTTTGTAGATGGAGAACCTTGTGGCTCAGAGAGGGAAAGGGACCAACCCAAGATCATTTCGCGTGGAAGGGGCAGAGCTGGGACTTCGCTTATGTCTTCCTAGTCCAGTTACAGGATGGGCCTGACCGAGGGGTTGAGTAGGGAGAGGTGACATCTCCTGGCACAGAGTAGAGGTCAGCACTGCAGGTGGGGCTGGGGGTGCTGAAATGGCATTTCGTGTGTCAAGAGCTACATTAGGTACCAGGGGTTGCAGAGACAAGATGGATCCTTAATTTGCTAAATACCGAATGAGGTGTTTTTAATATTTGTGCCAGGCCACGTGATATATATGTGTGCGTGCGTGCATGCATGCATGTATGTATGTATGTATGTATGTACTTGTGCCAGGCCACGTGATGTATATGTGTGTGTGCGTGCATGTATGTATGTACGTACGTATGTATGTATGTATTATAATACATACTGTAAAAATGGGGATAAAAATAGTATT